GGAGGGGAAGGCCCTCTATGAGGTGGATTGATTCAGTGACTGGGATAATCAGGATGGGAGTGTCAGAGACAGTGTGATTGGCACAGGACAGAGCAGAGTTTAGGGCTGTTGTACCTAGGGTCGCTATGAGTCTCAAGCGACTCGACGGCACACAACAACAACAACAACAACAACAATTATTTTAAAGTGTGTAAGTTCAGTGACACTAACTAAAGTCATCAGGCTATGTTTTCATAATCACCGTATCTATTTCTACATATTTTACATAACTCCATAGAGAAATGCAGTATACCTTAGCAATAGAATCTCATTTTCTCCTCTCCCCAGTTTTGTAACCATTTAGAAACTTTTGTCTCTATACATTTATCTTTTCTGGATATTTCATGTATGTGGAACCTTATATTGTTTGCCCTTTTGTGTCTAACTTATCTCACGCAGCATGTTTTCAAGCTCATGCTTACCTTTAGATATTTAGGCATGCATTCTTTAGCTTTTGTTTGGCAACAGTTGACCAAGGCTGTGTCTGTTTTTTGAAACATGCCAGTTGGTATCCCATAACTTCATACGACCTTATTTCTTCAGTACCGAAAAATTTGGAAGACAGCCATCAGTCAACTGACTGAAATGGATCTGTATTTGTTCACATTACCAGAAAGGGTGATCTAACAACATGAAAATTATCGAACAGTATTTTTAATATAACATGCAAGGAAAATTATTAAAAAATGGCTGGAACAGTCTATCTACAGGGAACTGCCAGAAATTTCAAGCTGAATTCAGAAGAGTTGTGAAATGAAGGATATTATTGTTGATGCCATATGGATCTTGGCTAAAAGTAGAGAATACCAGAAAAATGTTTACCTATATTTTATTGACTATGCAAGGGCATTTGACTCTGTGGATGTAATTTGAGCAATGTAATGTGGATATGACTGAATCAGACCTCTACTAACTCCACAAAGGAGAACCGTCCCTATCAACAACATCCATAGTATAAAACTGATCCCTGTGAGATCAGACATGGCCTCACACTCTGCTGTACCTACCTAATTACCTACCTAATTATGCAGTTGAAAATTCATGCAAATGATCAGATAGACTTTAGAGACCTCTTTTTACTCACAGTCATTTGTTTTATTAGAAA